GTGTGTGCAGGAGGTGAAACACCAAACCAATGTGCTAGAATCTGGACGATTAAGATGTATCTTATCTTTTCATAACTTATCTCATCGTCAACAAACAATGACTCCTGTTGTCTCACCAGGGACGGCTCCAGGCGTTCTGGGTTATTGACTGGCCTTGACATTGTGTTCAGTCACTGGGAATGCGTCGACTCACCGACTGCTTCCAGCCTCCTTGACACATTGTCTCGTATGCGCGAGGATAGGCCTGGCTTCATAACCACCGAGGTGACAATTTTAATTATATAAACCAAAGGGCAAAGGGCATAATTGTAAAGGGCATAGAGCTTGTTGTTGAGCGACAAAAGACGCTTCACAATAAAATAAGTTTTAGATTTCAAGCACACTGGCTGGCCTATTTAACAAACGACAATTATTTCAAATACGTACCCATTATATCCATACTATAACAAACAACACACAGACAGTCACTGTGGCCCCTGTAACTCCCCCCCCCCTCTCTCTCTCTCTCTCTCTCTCTCTCTCTCTCTCTCTCTCTCTCTCTCTCTCTCACTCACTCACTCACTCACTCACTCTCCCACCTCTCTTTCTCTCTTTCGCTCAAACACACCACACGATAAACAATTTATTACAAAAAACCCAAACTAAACCAAACCACACCAAAATAAAATAAAACAACAATACCCACTAACTTTTGATTACACTGGAATTAGCACAAGGAGGTAACGCAGTGTGAGAAATCAATGCTTCTAATTCTAAGGATGACACCAATACTAATTGGATGAATATACCTGTGTAACTTTGTGAGAAGAGCGCAAATCCCATTATAATATCTCACTTCTGTCTGAAAGTCTGCTTTCCTTGTCAGTGGGTAGTTAGCGGGTGGTCCCTTGTGGTTTGCTCTTTCTTTCCTATCAAACATCCATCTTCCTTGTCTCTCCTTTTTGTGTTTGTCAATCTCTTGTAACACCTCTAATCGTCGGTACTTATATGACCTAATTGCGTTGCAAGTGCCGTAAAACTCTTACTAAAACAAACAAAGTAAAAAACTGTCTTCGTTAACTTGGGGACCACCTGTGTCTCTGTAACAAGATGCTCTCTGAGAGAATTCAAGGCGAAATTTTTTAAAGTCAAAAATAAAACAAAGCAAAACTACTTCCATGCCCGTGGCACTATTATTCGAATCAAATGTATTTATGACACACTTAAAACAAAGGACTAAAATAGATATATAAGCTTAGTCATGATTCTGTGCTGCATTTGTGTGTGTGTGTGTGTGTGTGTGTGTGTGTGTGTGTGT